CGCCGTCGGCACCGCGCAGAATTTTGGCATATTGGGCAATGGCCGCCTCCACGTCCTCGACCTTTCCCCTACCTCACCCGCCATCACCGAGCTAAATGGTTGATTTGATGTATATAATCATCTTAACTTTTATATATGATCGAGTTATAGAATGGCGAATTAGCTCCTAGGGTTAATTAATTCGTCAATTAAGTTTAAGAATTTGAACTTAAGTAAATTAAAAGTTTTATTCTTACCAATTACGTAGATAAAATTTCCCTTCTCCCATGGATAAAATTCCCCTTTTCCGGTAATTCCATGTTAAAAAAAAAAAAAAATGTTTTAGAACGGCAAGCGATCTAATTTCGTTTTTAACCCTTCATTTTGATTTTAGCAGGCAGACTGTCTTAGCTTATTAACCCTTCAATTTTCTTTAAAATGGAATTTTATTCCAATATCCTCAATACAATTCTTAAAAGAATTCACCATCCAACTAATTCTGATCACCAACCAATAATTATGCACCGAAGATCTTGGTTGAACTGTTTCTTTCAGCATCTTCTTTCAATCTCTCACTCATTTAGCCAAAACACACTAAAACACAACAAGACTTTCAACTTGTAAGTCCATAGACTTGATTTCCTGTTAATTTTGGAGTGATGTCCCCATCTATGAAGTGGCCCCTCCCATTAAATGTTTCAGATGTAGATGTTAGTGGCAACATGTGATGGTATGGAGATGGAGGGTCCATCCCAATCCCATGGAAAGGAAAGGGCTTTGGCATTGTATTTCCCCTTTGCGTTTAAAAAAAAAGAAAAATTCATGCCAAGACCAACTCTTGATATCTAATATTAGTTCGCTAATTGACCCTCTCATTTTTCACTTCCCCCCATTATTTCCACCATTTTGATTTGAAATAATAAAGTTTGGGTCTCTTGAACCTTACTTCAATCACATTGAAGGATATGGATTTTATGTGCCCTTTTGGTTTTGGACCAATTCCATAATAATTAGTCCCTTTGCTCTACTTAATAAAAATTAAAAAATTATTTTAAAATTACATAAATTTATTAAATTTATATTTAAAAAATTAAAATATTTTATTTTTAAAATATAAATTAAAGTATTTTTAATTTTTTATAATATTGTATTAAAATAATATAATTTAAAAATAATTTTTCTTTTAATATTTAAAAAATACCAATTTTATTTATATTTTTTTTTCTCTCTCTCTCTCTCAATGGTAAAGTAAAGGGGCTGTTTGGAAAAGCAAGAAGTTTCAAAATCAAATCTGACTTGATTTTCTAACAGCTTTCTAAAATTCCGGGTCTGTGTTTTGATTTCATGGGTACTAAGGTACAACAGTTCTTGTTACTGCTTACTTCGGTCGTAACTGTTTGCATTAAAGGTGCCTGTCTGGTGCACGTACATTACATCGGCAATGCTTAGGGCCACACAAAGATAAAAGATTGGTTAAGAAGGCATAAATATTTTGTAAATTTATTTTATTTGATTGGTTTTATTAATTTATAATTATTTAAAGTATTTGAAAGTATTAATAATATATGTTAATTTTAAAGTGATAAATATTAAATATTAACTAAAAAGTAACAACTACAATTCTTTTTTCGAACATAATACAATTTCTAAGAAGAGAGATTCAAATTTTAATCTTAAAATTAAAAGATATAACTTAGGATGAGACATATAGTTATTGGATCACAAGATTTAATGTAACAACTACAGTTATTAATTATTTATTACAATTAAATCAAATAAATATATAACCTGTCTATACAGCCTTAATAAATCCCTGTATAGCCATAAGTATAACCTTGACATGTTACAACAAGCAGAGGAAAGTTTTGTTTTGCCCCTAAAAATAAGAAAAAGAGTCCCAAAGAAACAAAGAGTTAAGGTTAATAACCTTCTTTCCATTGGCTATGCGTACAATGATTTGATAATTTAATGATATAATATTAAATAAATGAATATATATTTATTTATGTATGATCTCAAATAAAAATAATCAATAATAAAATGACACCTTATATAATGCTAATAGTTATTGTGCATATAATAATATTTTTTATCTCATATAATTTTTAAAATAAAAAAATATTTTGTAATTTAAACTGTATTGAATTGTAAAATATATTAAATGAAGAACATACTCTTAATATTAAGAATTCTTTTTTATCTAATGATATAATCTAATACAATTCAAACTATAAAATAACAAATTTTTTAAAAAAATTAAAAAAGAAATGAAAAGCAAAAAAAAAAACTTTTCCAACTCATAATCTGACGAAGCAGCCTCCTTGTGAACACGTTTGTTTTGCAGCCCAATATTAGGGAAAGCCCGTCTGTAAACTCGGCCATATCCCTTTATGGAAATGTTAGAAGCCCGAAACATTTTGATCAGGCCCGTTCTCTAAAACTATTGGATCTGTCCCATTTCTCATTCAAAGACAACAAAAAATAAATAAATAAAAGCGAAAAATTGAAGCTCGAAATTTTCAGGTCTATCCTCAGCTTACTTCATCATCATATCCGATTTCTGAAAAAACTAAAAATTCCCCGCCGGAAACCTAGAAAAAATTTCCGGCAACGCCAAATTCCGGTAACATTGAATCCTCTAATCCTTCGCTGTTGAAATCTAGATTTGGATTCCAGGATGCCCATTTTCAAAACCCCATTTAACGGTTACTCAGTCAAATTCTCCCCTTTCTACGAGTCCCGACTCGCCGTCGGCACCGCGCAGAATTTTGGCATATTGGGCAATGGCCGCCTCCACGTCCTCGACCTTTCCCCTACCTCACCCGCCATCACCGAGCTAATTGCCTTTGACACTGCTGACGGCGTCTACGACGTTGCCTGGTCTGAATCCCACGACTCGGTCCTCGTCGCTGCCATCGCTGACGGTTCCGTCAAGCTCTACGATACCTCCCTTCCTCCGCAGTCAAACCCCCTCCGTTCCCTCCAGGAGCATGCGCGCGAGGTCCACGGACTCGATTACAATCCAACCCGACGCGATTCCTTCCTCTCTGCTTCGTGGGATGACTCGGTTAAACTGTGGACACTCGACCGCCCGACCTCTATCCGTACCTTCCGGGAGCACGCCTACTGTGTCTACTCCGTCGCTTGGAATCCCAAGCACGCCGACGTTTTTGCTTCCGCATCCGGAGATTGCAGTGTCAGGATATGGGATGTTAGAGAACCCGGGTCGACAATGATTATTCCGGGCCATCAGCATGAAATCCTGGCTTGTGACTGGAACAAATATGATGATTGTTTGATTGCTACTGCAAGTGTTGATAAGAGTATCAAAGTGTGGGATGTGAGGAACTACAGAGTTCCAGTGACTGTGCTAAACGGGCATGGCTATGCTGTGAGGAAAATAAAGTTCTCGCCCCATAGGAGGAATTTGATTGTGTCTTGCTCCTATGATATGACTGTGTGTTTGTGGGATTTTATGATTGAGGATGCACTTGTTGGGAGATATGATCACCACACAGAGTTTGCAGTTGGAGTGGATATGAGTGTGCTTGTTGAAGGGCTTATGGCGAGTACCGGGTGGGATGAGCATGTTTATGTTTGGCAGCAGGGAATGGACCCGAGAGCAGCATAAAGAGGAAAGCTTTTTAAACCGTTTTAATTGACATTGTTGTACTTAGTTATCATAATTTGGAATCAGCACTGGCATGTTTGATTAGTTGTGGGGGGATTGAAAATGGGCATGGTGTTACTCTTGTTATTGATTGTGATTTTAATTGTGGTGTAACTATCACATTCAGGACTACGTGTATGATCCCCTGTATGTCAGTTTTAATAAGAGAAAGAGGTTTTATATTGTTTTATATTCATCTTGCATAAGCATGTTGAAAAGCTTTGTAAGGGATTATCTTCCCCTGATATTTGTGCTTGAGAGTTTATAGTGTAAGAATATCTCTAAATTTTTGTTACTGAAACAGCTTTTTGCTCTCTTTGACTTCAGCATAGAACACCCAAAGATCACAAGTAGTGATTGACTGTAATGCAATTTTATGTCTTGCAAATTGCAATTAGGTGCTACTAGGCTTTGAAAATTAGTGCACGTTCAGTGCACAACATTTATTGTGAGTGAGTAAATGGTGATGAGTATTGAACCCAGTGATTCAAGAAAGCTATGGAAGACTTGATGGGAAGAGTAACTTGAATCTAGTTGATCCTGGCTAACTTAATCCAAAGTTGAGAATGATTTATGTTCCAAACTGAGACCGCTGGTATGACAATACCTTCAATTGTTGTCAGGAAGTCTTTTGTAGTTGTTCACCTCTGTAAGAAACTTGAAGTTAAGCATCTTTTTCTTTGTTTTGTGGATGGCATTGATAGCTTCAACAAGTCTTCCATTCAAGATAGGCCTTACTGGATTTGGTTCATGAGGCCAGGTCAACCTGATGTCAGGATCAATTTTTTTTTTTTCCCTCAACGCTTAGATTATATGACTAAAATTGGTATAATAATGGCCACTAAAATTTAAGTCCTACAATTTTCTGTAACAACATTGGCAGGTATAACTGTTATATTTTGCATAGGTGCAGCAGAAAATGATGTTCACAATCTCCATCCCTCAAAACTCTTTCTTAGTCATGATGTGTTTTCTTTCCTCGTGTTCTTTCAGAAGTATTTAACACATGGTGGTGCCTTATTGTGCTTGTAAAATTAATGAACTAGGTAACTAAGGCTTTAGTTTATATTGATATATATGTTGCTAATTGCTATTTAATTACTCTTATGATATTGAGGTTATCTATATGATAGTTTCCTTCGTTTTCCTGCAATAACCATACGCACAATGTGTATTCATGTGAAATTATATGTTGTACTCAGTAGTTTAATCTCTTGCTGCCTTTTGTCAGCAGCTCAAGCCAACCCAAGCTTTTCTTTTTGAAGATCTTTCATTTTAGGGCTTACTAATGTTGCTCTTTTATTCTTTGGTTGGTTTGAATTGAGGGTTGCTGGTCCTGAGCTGCTCATAAATTGCAGCTTCAGCTTTGATAATTAGGATGAAGCATTGAAGCCTTAAGATTGTAAATTCTCCTTACATGAAAAACGAAAAAAGAAGTTGCATGTTTACACTTTACACTCTATTTGAAAGGTTTGCTTGCCTGTTTGTTAGTCAGTCCTCTGTGTGCAACTGCGTATTACCTTTATGTACCCCTTATAGCTATATAGAAACTGCACCATGATATGCTTCTGTATGTTGATCTGAAAAAATTATTTATCATTGCTTGAAGCCACTGGTCTTTATATATGCTCGCAGAGATGTTATGACTTATGTTACGGAAATCAGAGTCCTTATAAGACAAATTAAACAACACCATCAATTTGGTTCCCAATTTCTAGCTTGCTTATGTAACTTAACATTCTCAAAAGAATAGTTTCCTTGGGCAACTGCAATTATGGTTTAAATGATTCTCTACTTGTGTGTGTACCTGTGCAGGCACACAAGTGCCTGTCTTGTCATTTGGTTTATGGATTCGGATTTTGGGTTTTGGGTGGAGGGGGTGGTTGTTGTTGGAATATCTATTGCATCCCTTCAGTCAATTGCTTATTGTAGGATTGCCAAAAGAATACTTCAGATTGTCGTTACTCGTCTTGTTCTTGGAATTTCCTTTCGTAGTATGATTGGAATATCCAACATACTAGGTTTTTTGCTGTGTAGGAACTCGTACGTTGTGTAGTTTGAAGTTGTGAGAAAGACAACTTTGGTGTTCAATTCATCAAATTAAATCACCTTGCCTAGGATGATTCCTCCAAGTTGACTAGTAGCTGGTGGCTATCCTTCCGATGTCAACTCCCACTTTAGTACTTTACTGAGACAGGATTTGACGTTCTTAAGCAGTCAATTTCCCTAGAGAAAGACATTATGCCTACAAGGCTGAATTCTATGAAGAATCCCTTGCTAAAGGTACATGCAATATAAAAGCAGGCGAACAAAGATTGCTGAGTATCAGAAGAATCATGATACAGCCATACAGGGAAAGCAAAAGCAAGGTGACTGCATTTTTCATGTAATAACTATAATTTTTTTTAAGAAAGTGTTTTTTAAGTCGATATATAAGAAAAAAGTATTTAAATTTTTATAATATTATTTAATTATTCTTAATAATTTATATATATATTAATTTAATAATAATATTTAAATATTTTCATAAGCATTTCTATACTCTTTTTTTATGCAGGTTGATTGACCTTAAAATTTGCATTGCCTTTCTTTTTCCTTTTAATAGCTTACAAAAAGTTATTTTTGCTTGCTTTTGTTGAGCATATTTATCTCAGGTATTTGGTGTAAAGAGATAGAGAAATTAGAACTAGAGCCCCGGTGAAACAAATTATTATGATTTCAGAAAAACTAACCTTGAGCTAGGAGTTTACTAGTGTATTTATCTCAATTTTTTTTTATCTTTTAACGGTAAGTTTATTTGTTGTCAGTTTTGATTTTATGAACTTCATTTTAGTCCCTTAATTCACCATTAGTTAAAATTAGTAAAGACAAGGGAATGAAAAGAAGGATTAGTTTTAAACTTGTTTGCATTTACAAAAGCAGAAGAGAAGTGAGGATTATATTTTTATTTAATTTAATAATTTAAAAAAATAATATAATATAATATTTTAAACTATACTAATTGAATAAATAATCAAAATAAAATATTTACATATATTTTTTTTTCAAATTAAAAAGATAAATAAATAGATGAAATCCATTATAATCCATTCAAATTGAAGACGTTAAAAATAAATAAATCAAAAGGGTTTTATTTCTTTTTGTCTTTATGTTTTTTTATGATTTTTTTTTTGTCTTTATTAAAAAGGATATTCTAAATAAGAAGATAAGACAACTTTTTCTCATTTTCTTTTTTTCTTTCTCTAAATCTCCCAATCTAAACACACTATAAAAGAGAGTAGGAGCTTATGAAGAGCATCACCACTTCAAGATTTCAATTCTTAATTTAAGGAAAATAATTATCAAAATAATTTTATCTAATTAAATTATAACATTGATTAATCTCTTGATTTAATATAATATTATAGTCTCTCCTACCTTCCCCTTCCCTTCCTCGAAATCAAAAAAGCCCTCGGGAGAGCTCGAAGAGGCAAGAACTCGTGGTTCCGTTGGCCGTGCTAGAATTTAAAGTTTAGTTTTAATACTTTTTATTTTTCTTAAAAGAACAAACTGATGTGTGTCATGTCTGTCGGCCAAGTAGTTGCCTGGTTTCAGCCTCGGCCTCACCCATTCATACGCGACTTGTGAGTTGTGAGGCAAGGAAGCTTTTACATTGCGTAAGTGTGAGATATAGGAGAAATTGCATGAATGTGTTCCTGATCTTTCAACAACCATTCAATTATGTCCTCAACTTGTTAATTATTAGAAATTGCAATGAGTGGAGCTTAACTTTTGGTGTATGTATTCGACTCGAAAGCTTTTGACCTCAATTTGTTTACTCAAATGGGTTTATTTCTTTAATTGACATAGAAGAGTGTGGTTAATCTAGAAAAGAAGAAAAAATGAGCATTACCTATGAATATTATCATTAGAAAACTTTAAAGTATTTATCATAAAATTTAAGGTCTAGAAAACAAAAAATCCAATAAATTTTAATCTTTAGATACTAACGAGTTTTGATTTTAGTGGAACATTTAAGTTATCATATTTACTCTTGAAATTTGAAATAAATGGTTAACATTTTGTATAAAACTGTATGTAAAAAGATCTCATCTCTCATATAAATTGTATTTGCTCAAATTCAACTTCTTTAATTAAAAGAATTTCATAAATTAAAGTCACCAACAATATAAAGTAATAGTAGGTTTGGTTTGAGAGGAATGGAGGGAAGGATTTTTTGACTGATTATATTGTAATATTTAAAAAATATTATAATTTAATTAATTAAAAAATTATCTCCTTTGTTTCTCTCAAACCAAATATACAATAAAAGATCTTATATTTGAGTCTTTAGTTATATAATGAAGTGCGTACAAATGATAAAAAATAATTATCTTTCATTATACAAATTCAAAATAAAAAATAAAGCAAATTGAAGTTTAGCATAAATTCTGTTTAAGGTCAAACTTGGATTTTTCTTTTTTTTAATAATGAACCATTTTCGAGTTGATAAGCTTTTGAGCTTCATCCAAGCCGGGCTCAGCTTATAACTAGTTAATAACCATAGTTTTGAATCAGGTCAAGGAACTTTAACAAGTCAAAGGTTATACCCAATTAAACCATGCAAAAAATATCAACGACCACAAATGCCATTGTGCTCATCCCAAGGCACCAATAGGCCCCAAAATCACAATCCCAAAGGAAAAGTAGATATCGACGCACATCTCTTAGGAACCGACCAATTTTGATCGCGTCCCTTAAGATGCATAAGGAGCCAGCCCCACTCATTTTCAGTCAATTAATAAAAAGTGGGGAATAAGCAAGGTATATATGAATTCAAAAAGATTAATTTTATATACCTCGAAATGGGAATTCAGCGT